AAAACTGAATAGAACTGAAATATTACAATACTATTTCATTTTTTAACTGTAAATCGTCCTTGAAGTAAATATAAAAAGATCATTTACATTGTTTCTCCATTGTGCTACAAAAAATCTTATTAATTAATCTACCAAATATTTCACTTATATTCCTAATAATATAGCAAGTATCAACTTCATTCATATGATGAAATCAATTGAATTGTTGAATACGTAAATAGCATTTATCTCGTACTACAATACTATCATAACTCTAGTAATTCGCAAGATAATTTATACCGTAAGCGATGAGATAGCAATTAACTTAGTCTAAAAGAATCAGCATAATGCTGTAAAGGAATGTAGGCGAAATAGCTGACTGAAACTAAACTTATCCTTTTAAAGTACTTCGTTTTTCATAGCTAATTTTAATTTATATCCGGTATACATGTATACCGTATGTATTGCTCCCAATTTATCTTAAATTGGATCTTGCATATTTTCATATAGGAGTAACAGCTACGTATAAAATGGTTGTAAGCCGAGCTATTAAAGGAGTCATTGACCAAAATTATTCATAAATAAGCACAAGCGTCCCTTTGGTAGATATACTATATGATCTACGTGGTGTACAAATTTTATCTAATGAAGAAGTCGTAAAACTGAGAGATGACTGTAAAACTGACAAAGAACGAGCCTTTGAATTCCTAAAAGTACTGGAATCAAGGAGCGATGATAACTTTTATCAATTTTGTTGCTTGCTAAAAGAGAGCAATATTCGTAGTGTTCGAAAACTTGGTAAGCGATTAGAAAAAGAGGCTAATAAAACTGCAGAAAATAAAGGTAAATAGCTTTCTCGACTTTTATAAATAAGGAGTACTCCAAAATATTCTCTTTTGGGAAATGAATGTTAACTCATAAACTCAGTGCAACCTTTGTATTTATTGGATTTAAATAACTTGTACTGTTATTATAATGTCAAGAATGCTGTTAATTGATTATTACTAATTATTTATTTTACCAATTTAGATAATTTAACAAGTCGAAATCAAGCAACTAGTAGTCGAACTAAAGCTTCTAAAAGTAATATTTAAAGCATCATTAGACTATTCTCTGTGATCCTCTTTTAAATAAAAGTATTTTAATATATATCCTACTTTATGTCAATCTAGAAAGAGCTGCAAGTTCCACTCATACAACAGATAGCCAAGTTCGACAAGTGAAAAGTAACAATATAAGCGTCATAAAAATACTCTGGCAGATGTTATTTACATGATGATATTTTTTCTAAATGTATTTTATTTATATTCATTAATAGTAACTGTTGCAGTTATCAAGTATATTTAATTCTTAATTTATCAATCTATTATGCAATTTGCTATAACTACTGTATATTAGCGTCCCGTTGCTCGAATTTAAAACAGTTTGACGTTAATTGTATCGCATATAATAATCACATGTATTAAATTTCTGATTACTTTTAAAACTAGAAAATCGGATATCATCTTCATCTTCTA